CAACTACAGTATACATTGAAAGTATTTGTGATGCTTTCCAAAACAAGACACTAAATTTAATGAATCTATATTTTGTTAAATATTATAAAAATGACTACAATCTCTCTGAATCTGAGTCAATTAGTCACTTTGATTAGCAATGTTTTCCAGGATCACAACAGGTGGTCAGAAAAGATCGGGAAAAAAATCAGCTGCTAATTGTTTATAACCAAGAATTGGACTCTTAGCAGGGTAAAGTGCAATAAATAGTGCTGATCTCAGATTGGTTTTAAAAGGCTTAAAAATAAATAAAAATAAGCAATTTCTGTCTGTAGCACATTGCAAACTATATATTCAATAATGAGAAACCACACATTAATTACAAGTTATGGTGAACTAACAATCATGATCCTCTGTTTTTAGCATGGCGTTAAAGGTTCCAATAGCTTATAATTTGGAAATACTGATTTCCATTAATGAAAAATAAGTGATACATAAAATGTAACACTTAATTTTCATCCATGAAAATTAATATTTTCATAATAACCTGCAAGGTTGATTGCAACCTGCTTGCTAGCCTACTCTATGATGGAAGAAATTGTAGCTTGACAAGGTGGAATTCCTATGATCTATAGAAATGCTATCTTGCTGACCAGATGATCCGCTTGACTGTTGTAACCAGTTTTGAGTTTTGGCTGTTGCATTTAGGTTGGTGAGACAGCGTAGGGCAGGCCTGTCAAACTGGCAGCCCACAGGCCAGATGCATCATGCGCAGGCCATGCCCATTCCAACTCTGCAAGTGCAACAAAACCTCATGTCACATTATATCACATGATGTGATCAAGTTTGACATTTGTGGTGTAAAGATTCTGTTTGCATGTGACTACTCTATTTCCTAATAATCTTTACAAACTAGCAAAATTACTAGCTTACTTCATTTTCTGGAGGTTTCTAATGTCCATACTCAATTTGTCCAATGAGTAGGCCAGTATTACATGGTGGCCATGTCTGAACTATACTTCCTTTCCATGCATGCAGCAGAATACATTGATGTGCCTTGTTCTATTAAAGTTAGTAATCTGAAGACGGACATGAGGGTCAAATTGTTTCCTTGTTGTCAAACATCTATTGTCACTCACTCTGGTGGTGGGTGATTCTCAGCACAGAAATGTGACTAAATTAAACATGCCATTGCCAATGAAGACATAGTGCAAGAAATGTAAGATATAAAATTTAATAAAGAGACACAAAAAAGGAGCTGTTGAATTTGGACTAAGTTATATAAATTAAGGACCAGACATATACTACCAATGACTGTCAACTTTGCAATGGCTACTGTAGCTTTGTAACCATGAAGTTTTCATTCTTAATCATGTTCTTGTCCCAGTTTCAGCCTGCTTCAGACTTGAATGACTCTGACAATAGTTATTTAAAATCAGTGTCCTATACATTCCTACACAGAGGTAAACAATTGCTTAAAAGATCTGAGTTAGACAATCCAGGTGCATTCTTACTAGTTTAATCTCAAATGAGATATACATTATATTTCCTCATTGTTTACCCACATTATTTGGTAATATGCAATAGAGAATGCTTTCTGAGTTTAACCTGCAAATTTTAAGATTTGCCTAAAGTGAATTAAAGAATTAACTTTAAATTTATGCACTGTTTTTCTTAAATGCAACAATAAAGCACTGTTTTAAATGCTGTAAATGTGGTCTTTAATTAGCTGTAACAAGATCAGCATTCACGCTAATGAAAATGGTATCTAACATGACTATCAACACTTGGGGATGTGCAAATAAATGCCCACAGAATAGATGTATTTCAATTTCTTGAGAACAAAGAATATTTCACCATAACATTGTCACTGCAAAAAAGGTGTTAATTCAATGCAGATATAAGTTAGACATGCAGATACCTATTCCCAGTGTGAAAAGAATCATTTTAAAAACTTGAATATCCTACTTTTTGCTCCTGCAAAAGGAGCTATGCCTTTAGTTAGTTGAACTTAGTTTTAGAAATGCTCACTCATTTTATACCACAATATATAAATTTTCATCGATTTTCATACAAAGCTGTTTTTGAATGTTCAGTTTTAGACAGCTGGAAATAAAAATTGCCTTTATTATAATACTCATATTCTAAAAAATCTTCATTAAAAAAGAATTGAAGGTATGTTGAAAGGGAAAAATGACAAAGAATTATTTACTTTTTGTATATTTAACATGATTTATTTTTTATTTTTTAAAAGTGAGTCTAATTTAAGGTGCTCTAAACATAACTGAATTTGATTATTTGCCTTAAATTTCAGATGGGAAAATAGACACAAAACATTGCTAATCACAATTAATTTGGGTGCCAAGTCTTGTCAGTGAGTTCTGGGAGCATTGGGTTCATGTAATATTTCACAGCAAAACTTCTCATCTTTAACAAGGTATACTTGTAATGGAAGTGTTTTGCTTTGCTTTTGTAAGTCAGAGTTGATTATCACTTACACCATATCACGATTGCAAGACTTTCTTATATTGTGGAAAGTAATGTTTGCGAGGATGCAGATGACATGGTGTATCGTGAATCAAATTGAACCATTAGACAGATGTTCTCTTTTTGAAATTCAAGATATAGCCTTATTTAAAGTCTTAAAAAGCATGTCAGAATTCTATTTATAGTCATTAATGCAATTTCACCCTTATAGAATGTATGGTAGAATAGATAACTTTAAGGCAATACTGAACTCTTGAATGGATATCTTTGTTTGTAGTTTTATTTTTAAGAAATATGTGATATACTGTTCAAAAATTACAAACATATGATATGAATGTCAACACTTCTAAATGAAGTTTCTGTGAGGGGATCATCAATAAAATTGCCAAATCTAGCTCTCTTGGCCTGTATGAGAACAATGTATTTTAGAGAAAAGGAATACAATTGAATGAAAATAAATATAAAACAAGTCACTAAAGCTTGTAGTCTTTGAAACAAAATGTTTACATTTTTTTACATTCTTCTTAGATGCCTTGAGCATTTGCTACTGTTGAATCAACCCCTTTGGCATTAAGCAGAACTGTCCATCGTTTGCAAGTGCACCTATTAAGAGTCATTTCCCATATTCACTGTAGCTTGGTTATCAAAGATGTAAATTCAGAACTGATATGTCTAATGAAAATCAGCTACTATCAGATAATGAGTGTGGCTGGGAAATTCATACTTTTATGCTTTTTTGTTAAGATTGTTTTCAGCATATCATAAATTAACAGGTGAACAGTTGTATCTACAACTCTTTCAATATTATGAAATGTAAAGATCAGAGACACATTCAAAACTCTTTGTATCCAGATATTTCAACAGCTTCTGGATTTCTTCTCACTTAAAAGCCAAGCAAGATCTTAATTTTTTTATCAATGCACTTAAAGGATTAGGCTTACAAGAAAAAAAATGTATTTAAAATATGATGCTGTTCAAATCAAGTTTCAGATTGCAGTCTTTGCAACTAACAATGCTGCTACCATAGACTTATTTCAGGAGTAAAGTCAAATGGACAAACTATTTTATTTTCAAGAAAATAAAGTGACACCTTTTCCTTGAAAATATTTACTTTGCAGCTTGTATCAACAATTGAGGAAGCTTATACCTTTGAGGTCTATTTTGAAAACTTATATTCAAGAGTTTTCCCTTAACTTTTCTTCAAAGTTTTCCACAAAGAAGTGAAATCTCAGAAACATTTTCAAGGTTAGTACTGCCATCTTGTGATAATTCATGTGCAACACTACCACTCTCCTGCAAATCTCTTGCTAAGCAATACATCTTTTTTGTATTCTGAAGTTGTATGTCTGGACTTTGTGAAGGAAACAAAAATCTAAATGTATTTATTATAATAGGAAGTAAATATTATAGTTAACAACTCTTTATTGCCCTTATATCTGACTATATCTGTTATGCTGAGTCTCTCCAATGTAGAATTTCACTGATTCACCCTTTTCAGATATTGGAAAGATTAAAAAATATGACAAATAATAAACATTAATTGAAACTTTAAATATCATACTGAAGAGATAAGAACACATAACTAACTTTAAATGTGTTTATAACCAAGGGAATCCAACATTTATTAATCAGATAACACATTGGTACGGCAGCTAACAAGTTAAATTTGAGAAACAAAGAATTAGATGATTACATCTGCTTATTTATTTCAAGTCAGTATCAGTCCTACATACATTTCAGTAGACTTTAACTTTTTGCTAGTCTTGTAGTTTGAAAGAGTGCTTTGTGGAAGAAAATGAAGTATTACATTTCTAATTCCTTGTCCTTTCAAAATAGAGGTGAGAATGGCACCTACCTAAAACTCTGGAGACTCACTGATATTACTAATGAAGTCATTGCCATTTCTCTGTAACAAAATCTGAGTTGAATAAATTTCTACTTTTCTTATGCTAGACTTTAGAAATGTCCACTAAACACCCTAAAATAAGAATCCCAAATAAATCAAGAATTATTACAAAAAGTAGTAAAAAAACAAAGCAGAAAATTATGGAAAAATAAGCATTTGAAGTGCTAACTACATTGAAAAGCAAACCTAAACTAATTTGTAAATATTATTTAAAACTATTAATTGGGGCACTTCTAGTAAGTCCTGTGATAATTCAACGATTAGGCAAACACACCACTTGGCAAAGACGCAGATCCTTTTCTCAATCTCTCAAATTACTAATTAAGAAGAGAAAGTTAACCTCAGACGAAACACAATACGAACAAACAAAAATAGTTAACATGGCTGAACTCAATACGCTCTGCCCGCTTGCGCATTAACTCCTATGAAAGGCGTGGAAACCTCCTTACTTGACTCGTCAAAAAAGAGCGCATACGTCACAGTAGCGAGAATCGCCTTGTACTCCCGCGAGAAGTGAGGCAGGCGGAGCTACATTTCAAACAGGTGGCGGGGCGCCTCTCGTTTCCTATCTGGGCCTGTTTTTTCGCTTCCGTTTCAGCTCAGTTCTGTCTCACTGTTTCGGACGCCGATGGCGAAACAGCAAAGCCGGGAGCAGGGCATTACCTTGCGGGGCAGCGCCGAGACTGTGGCGGAGTTTTTCTGTGAGTCCCTGTCCTATTGTTTCTTTTATTTTTCTTATATGTACCCATTTCATGTATTCATAACTATGCATATACTTATACCTATTATCTTGTAAGCGATTGACAAATCAAATCAAATCAAATAAATAAATAAATAAATAAAATAATGCTGATTTAAGAACGTGAGCCAGCTCGGTCGGAAGACCCGGGACCCCATCCTTCCAGCTTCCTTTCTGTTTTGTGAGACTTATTTCCAGGGATGGTGTTCGGCCCCTTTGTGCCCGGTGGAATTTGTTCCCGAATAGATGGACTCGGGGGAAATGACTCCCGAGTTGCGGTTTGGGGCAATGAAGTGGGGGGGGGGGACTTATTGTGACAGTGCTGCACTCGGTCCGTTCTTTTTCTTCTCTTTTTCTTCGTTCTCCTTCCTTCGCCGCGAGTTATCCAAACTGCGTCGGGCTTGGCTCTATAGAATAAGCACAAAATGCTAGGAATGTAAATTTGCAGTACAATGCAAAAAGAAGAAAGAAAGAAAACGTGCCCCAAGGGGACCTGAAGAAGTTAATTGCTTAATCATATATAAGTTTATTCTCAAGCATAGGAGACGATTGCTAAGACAGTAACTTCAGTCTCAGTAGGGAAGAAATGCTTAACTTAAAATGAATGTGAAGAGCAGATCTAATGGAGGTTTGGGAGACTCAGTTCTGGGTCTGCATCTTGGCTGCATTTGAGTTCTAAGGCACAGAATACAGCACAGAATACCGAATACAGTAATCGGTTGTTGGATAAGATGAGAAAGTAAGTCGTGGGATTTGGTGTGATATACAGAATCTGAAATTTTATATACCGGTAGTATACCTTGATACAGGTAGTCCTCGACTTGTGACCACAATTGAGCCCAAAATTTCTGTTGCTGAGACAGTGAAGTAAATTTTGCTCCATTTTATGACTATTATTGCCCCATTTGTTAAATGAATCACTGCAGTTGTCAATTTAGTAACACGATTGTCAAGTGAATCTGGCTTCCCCACTGACTTTGCTTGTCAGAAAAGGTGATCACATGACCCCGGATGCTGGAACCATCAGAAATATGACTCAGTTGCTAAACATTGGAATTGTGATCATGGGATGCTACAACGGTTGTTAGTCTGAAAACCGGTCATAAGTCACTTTTTTCAGTGCTGTTGTAACTTTGAATGGTCACTAAATGAACTGTTGTAAGTCAAGGACTACCTGTATATGCAAAGCAATCATATACCTGGTGCAGTGGTTAAGAGACAGGTCTAGAAAGCAGGAAACTATGAGTTGTAGTCCCACCTTAGACATGAAGCCACCTGGAACTCCAGAAACATCATCTTTGAGGGATGTTATTTCAGAAAGTAGAGGCTGCAACAAAAGGCACATTTCCTAAATCTTACAAGATAGCAACGTTTAATGTTAGGGACCTAGAGAACACCCACCCAGCTGGATCATGCTGGGCAGGCAGAAACAATTTTTGAGATGTCTCAGATATCCAGCCCCTATGCCATACATAATAAACAGTTTATAGCCTAAAGTTGCCAGTTTGGGGAAGGCTTAGATAACAGACAAACATTAAAACAACAGAAAGGCTATGAGTAGTAAACATAAGGTCTCAAATGCCAAGATAAATAGCTTTTTCAGCATGTACTATATCTTTGAGTTTGCTAATGTTAATTGGCATAATTATTACAACATGACAAAGAGCCGCAGTGGTTAGAATGCAGTATTGCAGGCTAACCTGTCCACTGCCAGCAGTTTGATCTTGACCGGCTTAAGGTTGACTCTGCCTTCCATCCTTCCGAAGTAGATAAAATGAGAGTCCAGATTGATATGGGGGCAATATGCTGACTCTGTAAACTGCTTAGAGAGGGCTGTAAAGTACTGAATCAGTAAGTGCTATTGCGATACTGCTTTTTAGGTAATCAGATACAGTACTGTATATTTTCTTCTTTCAGCCTATGGTATCAACAGTATCTTATATCAACGTGGGATATACCCTCCTGAAACATTTACACGTGTTCAAAAATATGGGCTTACCATGCTTGTTACTGCAGACTCTGAACTTAAAAATTATCTGAACAATGTTGTAGGACAACTGAAAGGTATATTTTTTTAATCAATGATCAAAAATTTTTAGATGCTTTGCAATGTTTATACAAAGTTGTAATCTAATAGGCATAATACAAAAGGAATGAGGAAGCACAAGTAATTAAGTACATTTAGATACTGATTTTTTTTTTAAATGGTCATTTATCTTGATTATCTACTGCATTTTCCATAGGTCATTGGGTAATGTTAAATGGTAGTGTATCTATTCAATGCTAGATCTGCTTTTGCTTTGCAGTACCTTTGCATTTACTATTAATTCATCGGCTCACATTTTACTTCATTAAATTATGTGTCATCAAGCTATTGTCAACTCTTAGTAAGGACGCATATTTTTCATAACAATCTGCTTTAACCTGTTCAGCTTATTGCCACTGTAACTGCATCCATTCTCTCCTATACACACAGCATATATACTGTATATACATTTACTGTGTATGTGTATATATGTAATATATATGTATATGTATGGCATTCAGCTTTGTTCGGGTATTTTCCCACGTCATTGTAGTTGTGCTTTTAAAGTTGTAGCAACGTTTCGGCAGAATCTCATCTGCCATCATCAGGCTTCTGATTGTGTCCGTCTGTGAGTCAGGCCCCCACA